GGGCGGCCCACGGAAGGTGCCGCTGCGGGACCGCAACCTGCCGCCTTCCTTCTTCACGGAGCCGGCGCTGCCCGCCCCCGCCGCCCGCGGGCCGCCCGCCAAGGAGCCGGAGAAGGGCGGCGGGGGCGGGGGCGCGGAGGCGGCCGAGTTCTTCGAGCTGCTGTGCCCCGAGTACGGCGCGCTGCTGCCCGAGCACGCCGCCCCGACCGACGCCTTCGGCGGCCGCCTGCCCGCCGAGCTGGGGCTGGAGCACGGGCTGTACGAGCTGCCGCTGCCCGCCGGCCCGCACCCGCTGCTGGGCGGGCTGCTGTACCCCGAGCCGCCCTGGAGCCCCGCCGCGCCCTGCAGCCCGCCCCGGAAAGCGCCGCCCGAGCCGCTGCGCCCGCTGTACCCCGGCGGCGCGGAGCCGGTGCCCGGCGGCGGCAGCGAGGAGCCCGGCGGGCACCTCCCCGCAGGGTTCGCGCCCTTCTTCCCCGAGTGCCCGCTGCCCCCGCCGCAGCCGCCCTACGATTACGGCGGCGGGTACCATCGCGGGGGCTGCCCCGGGCTGTAGGGCGGCCGCCGGGACGGCGATGCGGGAGCGGAGCCCGGAGCCCCCGCGGGGGCGGGCGGACGCTGGGGCGGCGCGGAGGCCGCACGGGGCTCCGCAAGCCCCGCTGCGCTGAGAGCCCCGCACCCGAAACCGCGGCCACGGCCCCCGCAGGATTCACCCTCGTGCACTGCCAGTCTCCTCCTCCTGCGGTTTGGGCGACGCTGCAAATAAAATGTGAAACTTTGGGTTTCTTCAGGTGTTTTTGTAGCGGCCGGTGCGCCCCCTTTCATCCTCCTTCCTTAGGGGCCAGGGCTTGGCTGGCTGCGGGCAGACGTGTTGCGCTACCTGTAGGCGACGTGGGGACAGGGGCAGCGCTCCGCRGAGGCCGCGGGGATCGCTCGTCAGTGATTTCAGTCTAAACCTAAAGCTCATGTCAACACTCGAGGCGCGTTTAACACTTTTCCCAGGCTCACGTTTGTCACAAGTGCTGGCAGGTCTTCAGCTGAGGAAACAAAGGCAAGAAAGTGAAGCAAAATTAAAAATGCTGCTACCAAAACTCAGAGTCCTGAAATATTGACAGCGTCTTGCACGATCTTGCAAACGGCAATTTACAGTGATTCGTAAGTTAATTGATGGCGTAAGTTCGTGACAAAAATGTACTGTAGCCGCTGCGGCCATGTGATTCCTACAGACTGTTGGATTTCTTCCAGGAATGTGTCAAAGCTCAGAAAGCAATGCAGCTCTGTCTCATTGTGTACAGGAGATTATTTGATAATCATTTAAGTTATGTAAAAGAGTCTATGATAGGTCCTATAAAAATAAAGCTACACAATAGATCCGAGATCTGTGGTTGTTACTGCTATTGAGACGCGGCGTTCAGGGGGCTTTCATCGTGCCTCCGTCCTCTGTAATGGTTTCTTGGCAGGAGTTAAGACAGGCAATGGGTTTTGTCTTTTCTAAATCTTTTGAAATGCTGTATTTTATCCGCAGCGACCCGCGCTTATTTTGCGTTCATTTGTACCGGCTGTTTCTGTAACTTAGTAGAAAGAAAGAGTGATAATACGCTACAAAGCCAAGGAATGAAAATTGCTACAGTTATGAAAACAGATCAAAATACTYGGGGGTTTCCTATTGAGATGCAAGTTTTCAAAGGCAATCCCGCAGTCTGGCTCCCCGCCAGCCCCAAGTGGATTGTTTGTTTTTGAAACGGGATCCACATACAGATCAGCCTGGGGTTTTACCCTCGGAGCTGACAAATCCTTGTGCCTTCTGTCTTTTAAAAGATAATGTAAAAGGTAAAGTAATTCTCTTCATTCTTCAACCCAGATTCAATTTTTCAGAGAATTGGGGTCAACATGCTGGGAAGCGTGGAGTGGTGAAGCAAAATCTTTTGGAAATAAACTGAGATAATTTGTTTTGTCAAATGTTTTTATTTTACTTTTAAAAGCAAGAGCTGTAGCTGCTTGCACCTCTTTCCAAAAGCTGCCCAAGGTCTCCACAAGCTGTATGGAAAGGAGCGACCTTGGATGAACATCCACAACGTTCCAGCATCTGATAGCTGAGTGCTGTTGAGGAAATGCACTTTTCAGGAAGAATTTTGCCGCAGAAAAGGACAATTTTACCGCAGTTTATTTCACTCAGCTTCTCGAGAGCATGCATGAGGATCAATGGGCAGCCTGTCCAGCTAAGGTAGCTACAAATTAGGTTAATCCTGCCCTGCTGCTGGTTTTGATGGTGGGACAATGTCCTACTCTGTCCTGCCATCTTCACTTTGGCAAACTTCCCAATCTGYATTCATGAGCTGCACGCTGCCAGCTCCCAGCAGAGCTTGTGTCTAACTGCATCTGAGACTACCTAGGCAAGACAGACTGGGGGGTTRTTTGAGGTGGAGATGCATTGTATTATTTTTCTGTTTGTTTAGCTCCTGCTTTAAGCATGTGAATTTGGAGCACATTTTGGCAGCTGCTCAGAGTATTTCAGCTTGACGATGCTGTGGTAATAACCTCAGTGCCCAGTTTTCTCACCTGAGCTGTAGACCCGAGATTTGTGCTTTCAGCAGGCCAGGGAAATGATGGGGGAGCTGATAATCAGTCTCTGCTAAGGAGCAAACCCACCTTTTTTTTTGATTTATTAATCTCATAAACTCAGTAAGCAAGCAAATGTGTATTAACTGAGGATTTAATCCTGAAGACCTCATAGTGTATCCTGTCAGCTGTCTCACCGGTGTCAATGAGATTTGTCAGAATAAGTAAAAAAAAGGTTTTTCAGGAATAGATTCTGGGACAGACATTGCAAATCTGAATRGTCTGACTGCCCGCAGACCTCACCTTTTTATTCCAAGTAGCCACGAAGGGCCACAGATCTGCCCTGCCAGTGGTTTTCACTCATTTGGTGCTCTGCTGCCTGAGAGATGTGACCCGTGGTGCTGAGAAGCTTCATCAGCCTTCTTGGGTTAGATATTGCCTCAAACCGGTGGGAGAARCAGCTCTGTGATGCCCATTCCCAGTGGTGCTGGGTTGGGAGGGTTCTTCATGGGCTTGCAAGAAGTTTGGGGCAGGYTCCAGGAATCAGCCCGACTGAGCAGCAGCTGCAGATGTCTCTTCTGCTCAGCCTCTATCCTACAATAGTTCCTTAAAGAGAATGTTCATTTTATAGGAGCTTGCACTGAAAGAAAGAAAGAAAGAGAGAAAATAAATTTAGCWTCAGTATTCTTTAGGTATGGCTACATTGGTGCCAGAGGATGCATTTGTATTTGAGGAGTACCTGGCATAGGAAGTCTGATAAGCCTGGAAAGGAGCTAACAACAGCTTTTCCCACAACACAGACCAAACAAAGAACTTCTGTGTAACTCCTGAGGAGTGCTGGAACCCCCTCTCCATGCTGTGGAGGCGGTGAGGGCACCCGAACAGCCCAGGGGTTGCCATCCAGTGAAGCTGCMTCTTTGATCTCCTTTGTGCATGTGTGGGCTCTTTTTGTTGGGTTGTTTCCCCCAGCTTGAATAGTGCAGGCACTGAAAACATCACCTAACAGTCTCGCTGAGAAAAACCCTTGGGAAATTGTTTTCTTCTCTGGAACACTGAAGATCATCATCTTAAGCATCTGCAAGAATAAAGCTTTTGTAATTGAGCAAGATATTTTGGGTTTTTTTGATGCACTTTTATAAGGAATCTGTCCCTAAGAACTAAAGCTGATTCTTTTTAGCTTTTTTTTGTCTTAAAGAAGTGAGTCCCTTTRAAAGGAAATGGGTTCTGTTTGGTTGGATCAAGGTCAGACTCCCAAACTATTTCATTTTACAAAGCCTCCACTGAGTTCCTCAGATGCATTAAGCTCCATTTTGTTGCTGGGTTATTTTACACATTTTGCCTGATGCTACTGGAGATTTTGATGGGAAAGCATAGAMGTATCAATACCTTTTCATATAGAGYCAAAGATTATAAAGGGGGATGACAAGAACTCTTGCTTCTTGTTTTAAATGAGGGAGTCTTACCTTTCCTTAATGGTGATTTACTGGCAAATAAGAAAGGGTTCACCATGAATAATTACTGCTGTGCCTCAGTATTTTCTGACTTAAATGGTCTGGGTCTATTCCAAAGCCACTTTCAAAAAGCAGAAAGATTCCTTTTTTAGAGGTGTTTTGAAACAGGCTCACTACCAATTTCATGGGAATGCTCTGGTACAGCCTGGCCATTTACGATGAGTTACCTTTGCTGAGCTTAAATAGTTGATCAAACAGTGTTAGTAAAAAAATTACAGAAGTTTATTGTAAACTTTTTGTTTTCTGACTTCTAAAATAAACTGCTTTTGGCAATAGTGCAAGAACTGAAGGTCATTCTGCACTTATTGGCAACAGGAGGAAAAAGGTGGTGCAGAAATTCCATAGAGATGTGCAAGAAATTCAGATGAGAGTTTTAGAGTCCAAGCCTACAAACCTGACTATATGAAGTGAGAGTTGGGAATGCTTTTAAGATAGCTTTGTGCCAACCAAAGAGACTGGTAAATACTTGCTTAAAAACCAGTGGTATTTGTAACACATCTACATAAACAACTGAAAATAGAGTGTATTATAATGAACACCCTCTCCTCGGTTCTGGGTGTGTAAAGATTGGCAGGAGATGGCTGAAAGGTGATGCTATGAAAGATGTAGGTGTTTGATAATATTTTTCAACACCTCACTGTAACCCTGATTATTCCACTTCCTCGCTGATAGAGAACTACTTCACCAGCCTGCAGGTTTTTAGCCTTTTTGGYCCCCCTCCCYGTGAAATGTAAATGTACTGTCAAARCCTTATTTTTTAGGGTGGTGATGGTTGTAGTGCACAGGCTCACAGTTGTCCAGAGATCACAGACTCCACAACACAGCATTGCTATCAGTGGAAAGTATTTTTCATTGCTTGAATTGGCCAGTGTGGGATTTGAGGAATAGACAGCATTTCCCAAATGACCCTTCATCTCTCCTYCTCTAAAGTGGGGGAACCACATCTTATTTTTACAATGTGTCACCCTCCCAGGGGCACCTAAAACTGCATGATTTAYCCTGTGCTCCTTCCAGGTATTCCCCAACATCCCCAGTGCATGTTTTCTGTGTTAGGGTGTCTCCTGGTGGGCATTTTACACTGCTTCAACCTTAGCAGCTAATTGTGATTCAGTYTGTGGGCTCTGCCAAACAAATTCCAGCAAATCCTGCTGTGCCAGATGAAGAGGTGACCATCTCCATTTTCTACCCTGTCTGTGCCGTACCATCCCTTAGCTACGTGCTGAAGGGAGCTGTTCCTGTGCCTCCATTACTCCAATCTATGCTCGGTGCCCAAGAGCATCTTCAGGAAGGTTTGGAGTGAAGTAGGGGCTGTTTGGCTCAGCCCAGGAATGGCTGGAGTTCAGCTCAGCTGTTTCAGCCACAGATAAGTGAAGCAAATCTGCTGTCATACTGGGAATGGGTTAAACCTGATACACTGGGTGACAACAGGATCACTTTAGTGGTAACTGTAGATGGGGAATACAGATCACTCTCTGTTGGAGAAGCTGGGCATAATTGTTAATAATTTTATTTTTGTTCAGCTTCATAAAAGATAGAGACCCACTGCTTCAACCCTCTGTATCTCCACAGTGGTAAAAGCTCGGTGAATGTTTTTTAATTTGATTTTGCCACAATACTYTTCAAAAAGAAGAATCCTGCCTTGGAATGTGCTGGACCAAGGATGGTGGCAAAGGAGAGGTGGTGGCCTGGATTTTTTTTCTCTTTTTTCTTCACTGCAGAATGTGATACAGGCTCTTCTGTACCACAAGGTAAAGGAGAACTTCATAGGGACAGATCCTCCTGACTCATTTCAATGACGTAGCAGACATGACCCTTTCTGTCTTCCAAACCTCACAGTGAAGAGCCTGAGCTTGTTCTGAGTGCACTCAGGACTCTGCTCTGGGCTCAGGTGGACATGGGACTCCCAGGTGGCATTGAGAGCTCTCCTGGACCCTCCCTTAGCATGACAYCCTTATTTCCTTCTCTTCCCATCTCTCATTGATGTGTTCAGCTCCTAAGCCAGCCAGAATATTTCTTTGGGTGTTAAGGCTGAGCACCTGAAAGGTGACCAAGGTTTGTAGTCAGTCTGTGAGATCTCTGGACATCTCAGTGACTTTCCAGACCAGTCTGCAGGAGCTAAAGATTAAAATAACATTTATTGCTCCGACTGCTGACTGTATGAATACATGACTGCATGAATACAGCCTGTGTGACCATSAGTTGAGCTGGACCCTGGCAGATCTCGTGTCAGTAATACCATCCAGCATTACAGTTCTGTGATCAAATCCCCTCCCATTCCAGYATCTCTTCCCTGTCAGTGGTTTGTCAGCTAGATTTGTTAAGTCTGGAGTAAACAGACTTATTCTCAAGATACAGAAAGCAGGGATCAGAGGGGTAGAATTGGGTATGAAGTTTAAATGAAGATAAATTCCATTCTTCATCAGTGGGTAACTAATAAGGAATTTTTTCA